CGGGGCGGCGGCGGAGGGCGCGGCGGCGCTCCCGCTCGGAGGCGCGGGCCAGGCGGTGGACGGCGTAGCCCAGATACATGACGGACGGCGTGGAGATCACCACGATCTGGAAGACCCAGAAACGCACGTGGGACAGAGGCGCGAAGGCGTCGTAGCAGACGTTGTCGCAGCCTGGCTGCCGCGTGTTGCAGGTGAACTTGGCCTGCTCGTCCGAGTAGATGGACTCGCCGCCCACGGCCGTCAGCACGATGCGGAAGACCACCAGCACGGTGAGCCACACTTTGCCCACGAAGGTGGAGTGGTGGTGGATCTCCTCCAGCAGCCGCGTCAGGAAGCTCCAGCTCATGTTGGTCATAGGGGCGGCCGGCAGGACCTGGGGGAGGGGGCGGCCATCAGCGGGTGGAAGTTGCCGGAACCCCGCGGTGCTCAGCGCTCAGAGCCGAGGTTAGGGGGCTCAGCTCAGGGCTGACTTCTGCTTACACAGCCCTGGTGACTGGGAGCTCACCATCTTACACGGAGGGAGCAGCCCCCACCCGAGTCCCGACCTCAAGCAGAGGACATGCCACAGACCGCCTGTCTCCCACCTGCAACTTCCCCAATCCCTCCTACCCTCCCCAGACCACTATAGGAAAGCCCCTCCGTGGAAGTCCCTCCCCTGCCCCAGCTCTGGGACCCCACGCCAGGAGCTAAGAGCCACAGAGCCTGAAAGTCGGTGGGGCTGACGGGGAAACCCACACCAGCCGCACTCAGGCTGGGCTGGGGGAGCTGTACGGTCTCAGCGCCTGCTGCACCCATGGCCCCCACCCCGCCCCACCAGGTCGCTGGGAGGGTCCCAAGGGGTCATGTTTCCAGCACCTTTGGGGCTTTCCTGGGGGCCCACCTGGGGCCCAGCCCTCAGCCTGCCCAGCCACCCAAGCCGTCCTGGCCCCTACACCCCCCCACCCCTGCAGGCCCATTAGCTCCTAGCCACTTGGGCCCTCAGCCCCCCAGCAGCCCTGATCTGTCTTCCTCCACACCCTGCACAGCAGCTCTGGTGGTCCCTCCACCTCCACAAAGGACCCACATCCTCCCTTGAGCCCCCTGGCTGGTCCCACTACACCCTGGCTGGCGTTGCCCCTCCAGGGCACCCAGGGACCCGGGGTTCCTCCTGTCTAGTCTCAGCTCCCCATCCTCTACAGTACCAGCCCAGATCATCCCTGGCTGGGGTGCAGGGTGAGGCCAGGCGTCTATGCAGGAGGGATGGCATCCAGCCACAGAGACAGCAACACACGGTCACACTTGGGATCCAGTGACACTGCTCATCCCCTCCTTGCGGCCGCAGGGACAGTACCTGCTCCTGGGTAGTGTGGGGCAGGAGACCCCTGAGCAGCCGATGCTTCTGGCCCACTCCCTCCTAGATAGGGCCTGGGAGGCTGCAACTGGCTGGTGTGGAACCAGCAGCAGGAGCCAGCGGGGCTCCCGGCCTCTTTATGCAGCTGGGGCAGGAAGAGGGGGCAGCCCGGGTTCCTGGGGAAGTGGCCTCACTTCCTCACATCTGTGCAGTCCCCTCGGAGCCACACATGCACTCGTGTGCACACCACATGGTCACAGACGCACAGCCTCATGTGCACATACACACATAGGCAAACACACACATGTACATACTTGCATGCATGCACATGCACTCAGACACACGCATATACTCACAAACACATATGTACACACACACGTGCTCACTAACACATACAGACATGAATGTCCAAGCCCTCGGGCCACCTTCTCCATCCCTCTTTCTCAGGCAGGCGGGGACACACAGGGGTTCCACCTGGCAACCTCCCAGGAAGAACTTTGACTCTTCCAGGACGTGCCCTATCACAGGAGGCTGACACCCACTGGTCAGGGCCTGGCAGGAACCCAAGACCCAGCAGACCCAGGGGAGAAACAGAGGCAGGAGACCCCAGGGTGTTGGCAGCTCTGACTAGCTGTGTGTTGGGCAATACTTAACAACTGGCTCTCAAGGAAGACTCGGTTGGTAGTGTTAGCTGATTCCCTGACGTAAATATCCCCACTGTGGCTGATTACTGGCTGGTGTCACTGAACGTGGACTTGAGGAGACAGAGCACAGTTGGCTCCTGAAACCAGCTGTGGCTTAGCCCCGTGGACCTTGCCCTGGGGTCTGAGCGATGCAGCTTTACCCTGGGGGCCTGTGTCACAGCTGTAGTCAAGGCCGCACACAGGGGCCTCCCCAATCTACACCTCTGCCAGTACCTCTCCTGGGCCCAGCAGCCTCCCCAGCATGGGCACCTGGCCACCAGCCTCAGCTACAGAGGGTCAGACCCAAATGTGCATCTGCCCTCAGAGCAGCCTTGCTGTCCCAGGAGACCTCATCCTGGACAGCTCCCTCCCCACACCCCCTGCTCCATCAGCAAACCCTGAACCCAGCCATGCCTGCTCCCATGCCACCCCACAGGGGCCTGGTCCACTTCTCACTGCCTTCCCCGTGAGCTTCACTCTGCAGGATGCTGGCGGGGGGTACCTTAGAATGTCCACCCACCAGGCCTCCTCTCTGCTACTGCCCTCCCAAGACTCCTTCCTGACTGCAGTAAATGTAATGTCCCCAATTCCACTCCTGGCGCCAGCCACACCTTTGCTGTGATCTGCCCGCGGCTACCCACACTGGCCAAGCCCACTCCTGCGAGGGGCCTGTGTTGCCTCGCCCTGCCACACGCATGCACACACGCACACACAGCTCCTAGCCGAGTCTGCCTCTCAGAGGCCTCCTGATCATGGGGACAGGTTAGTTTCAGATTGCCTCGCCCTGCCACACGCATGCACACACGCACACGCAGCTCCTAGCCGAGTCTGCCTCTCAGAGGCCTCCTGATCATGGGGACAGGTTAGTTTCAGACACTGCTGTCCCTGTAAGTAGTGAATGGGAGGTTACAGACACGCATGAGGAAGAGCCTAGAACATTTCACATGGTCCTGGATAGAGCTGGAGACATCAGGATGCACTTGTGTTCAGCCGACAGGGAGGCAGATGGTTTCATAGAGAACATTTCTACAGATGTGGATACACGTGGGTTTGCACACACACATACATGTCCCTGCTCTTTCACCTTAAGAGGCCTAATACAAAAACACCCTGGAGCTGGGCTGGCCAGTTAGCTCAGATGGTTACAGTGTGGTGCTGATAACACCTAGACCCAGGGTTGGATCCCTGTTCCAGACAGCTGCCAAAAACAAAAAAAAGAGAAAGAAAAAAAACCACCCTGGAGCAAGAGCACACCTGGGCCCTGGGTCTTGGTTTCTAACCCCAAAAAAGGTACCAGGACTCCCTGGGGAAGTGCCTGATTCTAGGGCTGGAGCAGCAAGATGATCCTGGAGCAAACTGTAGGGTCAGAGAGGAAGGGTGTGCTCGGACGCATGCGCACACGCACGTGCATGCTCCAGAGTTCACATGCACACACCAGTGAGGGCATGTGCTACAGCCGAACATGTGTCCCCTCCAAAATGCATGTGGAAGATGGATGTCCCCAGTGTGGCAGTGTGGAGAGGTGGGGCATTTAAGAGGTACAAACTGTGTCCTAGTGAATGGATTGATCCACTCACAGAGTAACAGGTTGATGGTGTAATGATCACTATAGGTATAGACTGGTCGCTTTATAGGGAGAGCAGGTGAGCATGTTAATAAGCACTGTGCCCCCATTGCCATGTGACACCCTGCGTCCCCACGGGGCCCTGCAGAGTCCCCACCAGGAAGAATGCCCTCGCCAGATGCACCCCCTGAACTGTGGACTTCCCCAGCCTCCAAACTGTAAGAAACAAATTTCGTTTTCTTATAAATTATCCAGTTTTGGGTATTCTGTTATAAGCAATAGAAATAGACTAATACGGCATGTCAAAGGTATTTGGGGCCAACTGAAAGAGCTCCCAGTGGCTGAAGCTGATCGATTTAAACAAAAAAATAAAGTAGTATTGTAGATTATCGATTGGGTTACAGATTATCACCCAAGATGTGACTGAATAAACAACTAAACTGGGAACAGAAGACAATAGGTCCCCCATGCACAGGGATTCCAAATCATTTATATGGATGCTCTGTCCTGGAGGGAGAAGGCTCCCCAGCCCCATATGGGTGCACGCGTGACCTTTCTTGTTTCATAGGACAGTCTGGTCATGCAAGCACTCCCACGGCATGTGGCCGAGGTCACATGACAACAACACGTGCTGATGGTGTGTCCCTTCATACCATCCAATGAGAGGGACACCTCGCCCCCGCAGCCTTCTTCCCCAAACAAGTCCCAACAGAGGGCACCATACAAAATACCGTCCAGAAGGCCATAATCCTCAACATTGTCAAGGGCATCCAGACAGGAGAGTCTGAGAACCTGTCAGAGCCCAGAGGAGTCACCCCCAAGCCACACCTCAGGTGGGATTCTGGACAAGGCTTGTTGCGGAGGGGCTTCAGATCATCCGAGAGGCTGAGGGTGCCCCTGGACGTCAGGGTCTGTGGGGAGGCAGGCCTGGGAGCGGTCAGACAGGGTCGGGGGAGAAGAGTCCGTGGTCAGATCTGGAGGAGGGACATGGGTGCAGGGGGAGGGGCGGGGACTTACAGAGGATGGCTGGGGGTGGAACAGTGGGAGTGAGGGCCTCGCAAAATGCTAAAGTCTGAATGTCCTCTCCAAAGCTCCTTTTGAAACTTAATCCCCATTGTAACAGTATTAAGGGTAAGAAATCGGACTATAGTATTAGGAGGTGGGGCTGTTAAGAGGAATAATTCATTCATGGATTAATGGACTGATGGGTTAATGAATGAGTGGTTACCACAGGAGTGGCACTACTGGCTTTATAAGGACAGCAAGTCAGCCCCTCACCACATGATGCCCTGCGCCACCTTTGAACTCTGCTGAGAGTCCCCGCCAGCAAGATGGCCCTCACCAGATATGACCCTGGCCCCCTGTCAGCCTCCAGAGCTGTAAGAAATAAATCTCGTTTCTTTATAAATACCCAGTTTCACATTTCCTGTTATACACAACAGAAAACGGGCTAAGCCACATGGGAGCTCACAGGTAGGCAATGGGAGAGGGTCTCACAGTGGAGCCATCCTGCCCCTTATGTGCCTGTCCTAGGCACACAAGTCTCCTGGCTCTTTGGGCCATTGTGCCAGGGGCTCTGTGATAGAGGATGGGGTCATCCCTACTCAGAGCTGCTGGGGGGAGAGAGCCTCACTGGGAGGCCGGGGGTGGCGGGCATCAGCTCCTCCTGCACAGCCAGGGCCAGGGGTCACCTCTGGGAGGGGTCTCTTGATGGGTGAGCAAGCCCAGGTCCACACCGCCTGTCTGGAAAGTCCTGGCACCCATGGAATGACCGCCCATCCCCTAGGCCTCCTACAAGGTGGGCAGGGTTTCTCCTGCCCCTAAGCCTCTGCTCACCCTGGGTCTGAACAAGGGTCTGGGGAGGGATGGAAAACTGTCACCCCCCACCCCTTTACCTGCAGCAGGGTCAGGGCCCTGCCCAGGTATTTCCCGCTCACCTCCCTGGAATCCTGCAGGCTGAGGTCTCCTCCTCAGGGGCCCCTGCAGTCCACCTGCCCGCCCTCTGGGGGCCCTTGTGTGGGACAATCCTCATTAGGAGAGGGGATACAGCACTTGCCCACCCCAGGCCTCAGCACCACACACCCACAGAAAATGCAGTTCCTCCCCCATCCCTCCCAGCTGGGCCCCAAACCCCCAGGAGACTGCATCCTCCCTCCTGGCAGCCCAGCACACGCCTGCGGCCCCCCTTCTCAACTCTTTGAGGGGCCACTCATTGGCTCTGCCCATGGCTCCTGCATCCCTCCTGCACGTCCCTCCTGGACTTGTGCCCTGCATGCCCCAGGCCCTGGGACCACCAGCTGAGTATACGCTCCTGCATCCTGGCCCAGCGGGAGGCAGCAACTGCCTGCCACCAGGACCACCTCAAGCTGGGGGACCCTGTCTGTCACATCCACTCTGCCCCCAGCAACATCCAGGGCAGGCCTTGCTGCCACGCCAGTGCACACTGCAGACACCCCGCTTGGTGTGGGCACCAGCTGGCCCCTGCCCCTCCCACAAGAGACTGAGGTGCTGTCCACATGCAAATTGCTCAGTCCTCACAGGGTCCCCAGGGCCTTCCCAACCCGCTTGTGCCCACCTCACAGCTGGCCTCGTCCACTGTCGACTCACACATGTGCACATGCATGTACACACCCGCTGCTCCTGCCCTTCATTTACACATGCACGCTCAAGTAACCCAGCCCCCCAGCAAATTCGGTCTCAACCCAAAATGTGCCTCCCTTGGGAAAGCCCCTGGCAGACCCAGAAGGGCAAGGTGCCCACCACCTCCCACCACAGCTCCCATCAGACCCGGGAGCAGGTGTGTGAACCTGCAGGGTCTGGCTCCCCCAGGGCTGCCCAGAGGTGCAGGGGCTTGTTTGGTGTGGCAATTGCTGCCCTTTTGGGGGGGGGGGTGGACTTGGACTGGCCTCTCATCCCCTGCCCAGGACCCAAGGAGGCACAGACCGCCAGGCCTGGAGCCAGAGAAGTTTAGAGCCATTCCTCCTTTGGAGATGAAGGGGGTGGTGGGCTGGAGGGCTGAGCCCTGGCCCAGGTCTGGCTGGGGGGCAAGTCCCCATCTGGATAGCTTCTGCAGGCTGGGAGTCCAGCCATGCCCTCCAGATGGTGAGCCTGCATGCGGGCGCAGGCGGGGTAGGCCAAGGAGGAGGGCATGATATCCCCCCAAGCCACGTCTTCCCCTGGAGCCACCCAGCGTGGACTGCTACGTCCCCCAACTTTCCATCTGTTCCCTCGTCCGTCCCAACCCACACCCTTCCTGCCACATCCACATCCACCTGCACCCCACACCTCCCAGCTGAGCAGCCAGAGGTCCTGTGTCCACTTTCGTCCAACCAGACCCAAACTGGACCACAGCCTGACTGGTGCAGCCTTCCTGTGCAGCCCGGGCCGCCCCTGCATTCCCACCCGCCCTGCTGCCCTCTTGTCATGCCCCCAAGCACCGATCACCCCAAGTAAAACCTCCACCCGATTTATCACTACATCTGGGGCAAGCCGGGATCAGCTCCTGGATGGCAAGGTCTGTCTTGCTCCCTCCTGAGCCCCCAAGAACACAGGGTTGTGCCTGGTGCCTTGGCTGCTCCCCCTTCCGGTCTGTAGAGACAAAGGCCTGATATCCGGACACAGTGCAGCTGGCTAGTGTGGACCGTGGCCCAAGGGGCCCAGCTGCTTGGGGTGGTACTTGCTGCACCCCCTCCCTGCACATCAGCTGCTGAGCAGCCCCTGGGGCTCCCATCTACCCACAGGTCTTGCTGCCTCAGTAGACCTGGTCATCAGCCCCTGCCTGCCCAGAAGGCAGCTGGGCCTGAGATGGACAGACACCCACAGTGGGGAGGGGCAGCGGAGTCTCATGGGCAGGGAGAGCGTGGCCAATGTCTCCTTCCTGGGTCGGTCCTCCCACCACCCCCTTCCTCCCCACGGGGCCTGAGAGGCCAGCGGAGACCCCAGCTTACTGGTGGCCAGGCCACACAGGGCACCACACACCTGATCCCTGCCCTCGAGGGGTCTGTGGTGGCCCTGGGGTGCCCTACCTTCTCCAGGTCAGGAAACGTGAGTCTTTCCCTGAGCCCTTCCACCTGCTAGCTGGATGCTGGTCCTCCTCGAGGGTGAAAGGCAGCCGGGCCAGGGCCACTTCTCGCCACCAAGCACAATGGGGGGTGGGGGAGGGGCCTTCAAGGACTCCATTGTTCCCCCCGAGGCATCAGGGCCTGAATCCCTGATTGTCCCTGGGGGCTGGGCGGCAGGAAGCCGGACAGTCGGGAGGAGCCCGGCCAGGGGGCCAACCGGCACAGCCCTATCCTCCTGCGCCTCGGTCTGGGCTGCTCTGCACCTCCTGACAAGCATCTGGGCTTTTGGATGGAGCCCAGGACTCCCCCCTCTCCTGCTATTTCCGCCTGGGCTCTCTGCCTGCCTCCTCCATGTTCAGCTGTCTGGGGCCCACCCGGGAGCTGCCTCACCTGGGCAAAGCCAGGGCTGGGACTGACCTGGGGTGAGTGGGAGCAAACCTGTCCCTGCCCTGCTGGTAGCTCTCTTGGGCCCCAGAGGCTTGGAGCAGCCAGAGCCCACGAGCATGGCCACTGCAGGCCAGGAGGGGAGGAGTGCAGCCCTGACTCGGTGGCACCTCCTCACACCCGCCTGGACTCTGGATCTCAGGGGCCTGAATCCTCAAATGAGACCTGGCTAGGACCCAGCTGGCCTCTCCTGGAGCCTTGGGGCCACAGTGGGCTGGGCTAGTTGGGTTTTGCAGGGCACCAGCAGGCCCCCATGATGCAGAGCCAGCCCTGTGGGCTCAGCTCCCATGTGCTGTCCCTAGCTCTGGCTGGGCACCTTCCTGCAGTCTGTCCCTCTGCAGCCCCCCATCTGGCTCAGGACCAGCTAGGACAGGTGACAGTGGGGCTTTCCAGGGCTGAGCCTATGCAGGCATGGCTCACTCTGCTCTGGCTGATGGACAGCCCCACCCAGCAAGATGCCAATGGGCTCCTGGGGAAGATTCATAGTGGGGAGCAGCCCTGGCTGGCACCCTGTGACCAGTGGAACAGGGATGGAGGGCGGCGGGAGGCAGGAGGAGGCAGCAGCTAGGATCAGCAGAGGCCAGGCAGGGCTGCCTTGATCAGGATCAGACCCCGCCCAGCCTCAGGGCCGCACTGCACTTGCTAGCAGACACTCCAGCCTAACAGTTACTTTATTATGTCAGCCCCAGCTCCAGCGGGAGGGACAGGAATAGGGACAGGGGACAGCCCAGGGAGGGCAGATAGGGGGTGCCCCAGGGCCCTCCAACTGCACGGGACATGGGACATGGGCAGCACCCCTCTCGCCCCAGACGCCAGTTGAAGACGCAGAACCACTGTGCAGCCAGCAAGGGAGAGGCTCCACAAACCCAGTCAGTGGACACCTGCCGCTGGTCCTGCATGACTCCTGGGGGCCCTGACTGGACCCCCCCATGCTTCGAGACCGGGAGGCACCCGTGGAATGGAAAGCAGGACTCCTCAGGCGTGGCTGGTCCCTTGAGCTTTCCTGATTTCCTGCCAGGGAAGGAGGAGCAAGGGGAGGCTGGATACCAGAAGGCGGGGCCTACCGCCCTCCCTCCTGGTGGGCCAAGGGGGCCTTGCCCTGGTGCTGGGGTCAACTCCTTCCCCTGTCTGAGCCTCAGTGGCCTCATATGCAGTGGAGGTCTGAGCCTCTGGGCCTCTCCCAAGGTGGTGTGAGGACAGGGTCTGGGCTGGAAGAACTACTAATGGGTAGGGGACAGGCGGGGACAGTACAGGTGGGCATGTTCTGTGGAAGGGACCCACCTCAGAGAGCGCCTCCTTCAGCGCTGCATACGCCTTGTCCAGGTTGTCATTGATGATAAGCAGGTCAAACAGGCCAGGCTCTTTGCCTGGGGGGGGAGGCTGGGGTCAGAAAAACAGTGAGCCTGCCCTGGCCTCTGCACAACCACTGGAGCTGAGCGATGGGCTGCAGTTGGCCTGTTCCTGTCCAGGGCAGGGACTCCAGCTGGGGTTCCATTCTGTGCGGGAGCCCCTGAGCCCTGATCCTGGACACCACTGCTCCCACCTGGCCCCTCACTGGCCATGCACAGGACTCGGGTCAGGGGTTACATTATCCTGTAACACTGCTGCAGGTGCCCTACGTGAGAAAGGACGTTTAAATAACACCCTCTTCGTAAGGACAAAATCAGACCCAGATGGGAGGGAACAGCTGTGACAGGATGCCTACAACGCCACCCAGCTGAGTAAGAAAAGGTTTGCAGATCCTCCACGGGGAGAGGGTAGTCTGGGGACCCTCCACGGGGACACTGGGTGTCAGACGGGGTTCTGCAGACCTTCCACAGGGAAGGTGGGTGACAGAGGGGGTTCTGCAGACCATCCTAGGGACGCTGGGTGACAGAGGGGGTTCTGCAGACCCTTCAAGGGGAGATAAGGGTCTAGGGACCCTGGGTGACAGAGGGGGGTCTGGGTATCCTCCACAGGGACCCTCCATAGAGACTGTGGTGCTGTGGGAATCAGAACACCAACTTCCCTCTCCTGTGCCAATCTCCTAGCTCTGGACCCTCCCCATCGTGAGGTGAGCGGTGGCTGGCTGCTCAGAGGGAGGTCGTGGGTGGATGTGGGGCTGGGGAGGGTGCGGGCACTCACTGCTGTCCATGTCGGCCCGGGCGGCAGCCAGCCGCTTCGCCAGGCTCTCCTCTGTCTCGGTGTTGCGTTGCCGCAGCCGCTGCTCCTGAAAGGCAGGCCCACGGGGTCAGCAGCCTCCCAGACACGAGCCCAACCCCCTGCCCGGGCCCCAGGCCCCAGCTCCCCACCAGGACATCCAGCGAGGGCGGCTGCACGGAGATGTAGATGGGCCGCAAGTCGGTCTTCTTGATGTTGCGCACACCCTGCAGGTCCACATCCAGCACGCAGATGCGGTTCATGGCCTGCACTGCCTGCACAGCCGCCTTGCTGGGGGTGGGGGTGTGGGTCAGCCATGGCTTGCCCCAACCCCAACACCCAGCACGCTTTCAGGGGCACCCAGCATGCCTTTGCCTGCAGGGCCCATCACCCTGTGCAGCCAAGTCCCAGCCACAGATGGGGCTGTCCCCAGCGGGCACTGCATGGCCAGAGACCCTGGGCAGGCTATGGGGCACTGCCATCTTAGGCAGCACAGAAGCCCAATGACACCCTCAGGGCCCACTGCCTGCCCCTCCCACTGCACCTGCAGCAAGTGCAAGGTGTTTTGTGTGGCCGCACACCCCAGGAGGACAGCCAAGGGTCAGCCACTGCATGCAGGCATGATCGGGCCTGCCAGCCCTCCAGCCAGGACAGCAGCCCTGTGGGGAGGAGCCCATGGAGCCTCGGCTCACGGACGGACTGCAGTGCAGCTGAGAGATGTGAATGCAGGCAGGGGAGAGGACTGATGATCACTGCACAACCCACCTCCCAGGGCACAGCACCACGTGGCCCACCTTGTTCCGTACAGGTTCCCTGAGAACTCAGCATGCTCAATGAAGTCACCGGCTATAATGTCCCGCTGCATCACCTCCCTGGTCACAAAGTAGTAATCTGCAGAGAAGGGGGTTGTCCAGAGGGTGCCGTGGAGCTCAGGCAGCTGGAGTAGCATCCTTCTCCCCCTGGCATGGGTGCTGTCCCTCTGTCCACCCCACCCCAGGGCTGCTCCAGCCAGGCCCGTGCCAGGCCAGGAGGAGGCAGACGCTACTTCTCACACTGTCCACACTGGGGGGCTGGACACTGCCATATCCCACATGGAGACCACAGAGGAACAGCTCTATCTAGCAGGACCACAGAGAATGTAGCACAGCTATGCTCTTGGCCACACAACATGCCACCTCAGCTAAGAGATGGACACATAACTTAATGAAGTCCTCACCCCTGGAGGCAGGGACCCATCTAATAGACAGCAGACTACGCCATGAGCATTGTGACCCACAGAAAGAGGGTATGGGCAGGCCTCATTGCACTTTTAGGGCACTGAAGATCCTCATGGGCCTTCCCATATCACCACCCCCATGTCAGCTGCAGCCTGCAGGGCCCACAGACCCACCAGGCCTGCTCACCTTTGCCGTTCTCCTCTCCAGGCCGTGGGTCCCTCGTGGTATCTAGGAAAAAGCCCTATCATTCACTGTGGGAACACTAAACCACTACCCCCACCACAGGGCCTTCCCTATGAGGATTAGCTCAGCCCTCCAGGGTATAGCAGGAAGGGCTCCGGAGACAGTCAGGGCAGCCACCCTGTCCTCAGAGGACCACCTAGGCGGCCAGTGGGTCATCAAGCCATAGCCCCACGGGAGAGGAAAGACAGAGGGAAAGAGAGGGGAGCTGAGTGCACTCCACCCAAGAGAGTGTGTGAGTACTGGGGGGGCAGGCTGCAGGAGTGCTAACAGTACAGGGACAGTCCCCAGCTGTGCGTGTGTGTGAGGGGAGGTCTGCAGGACTGGTCACAGTGTAGGGACAGTACCACCATACCCTCAGCCCTGGAGACACCCTTCCCCTCCCACAGCACTCACGGGACACACTGAAGCCAAAGATGCTGCCGTGCTCCTGGAGCAGCTTCTTCAGCAGTGTGCTCTTCCCTGCCCCCGAGGGCCCGCTCAGCACCACGGGCCTGGGTCCTGACATGACTGTGGAGAAGGGGGAGCTGCGGACATGGGTGGAGCTCCTGGGACAGGCTGTGGCATACACAGCACCCCAAGCCTCTGTCCTCATTATTCACTCAGCGAACATCTGATTAGGAACAGGGGGCAGTGGACGCAGGGGCTTATGGGACACTGGGGCTCGTCTTCCTGGGCTAAGTCACATTGTAACACACACCATGCACAAAATAGCACTTAAACCAGACACTTTCACAAATGCAGCAAGAGCAAGGGAGGGACAGCCGCATGGACCAGGCTCTGAGGAGGGAGCCGACCAAGCCCATCTGCATGGCCAGGCGTCCCCAGCCCAGACAAATGCCGTCCACCCTGAAACCCCACCTGGGAGCCCGGAGGTGGGCTCCTATGTGTGCACTGCCCACTGGGCTGGTGAGCTGGATGGAAGGGCCCCGTCTCTGCCTCTATGCATGTCTCCAGGCACCACGCCCAGCAGGTTCCTTAAACTCTGAGGAACCTGAGTCCATTCCAGAAACTTCCCATTAGACTTGGACCCCATCGCCAGTGCTCGCGCCCTGCCCCGCCAGCCCTCCAAGAAAGTGAACTAGTATGGGCTCACCCTGTTGCCAGTGAGGGCACTGAGAGGCCAGGAGGAGGAGCTGAGACCGGGGATCAGCTCCAATCTGGGACCTCAGCTTCCTTCCCTAAGGTGTGGTGAGCACCTTCCAGGAACTAGAACCCCTTCCACAGACAGGAGTCCCAGCTCTGAGCCCTGGCTGCCCCCACTCCACCTGCACCCCTCCCATACCCCACCTCCCTCCAGAGCAGCCCTCAAGGGGGTCGTGCCTAGGCAGCCCCCTCCCACCTTCAGGAACAGGACCCACCTGCTTGATAGGGTGTGGCGTCTGTGGTCAGCCTGGGGCGAGTCTGGGCTGCTCTGGACTGAGGGCTGGAGGTGCTGCATCCCTAATCCCTGCCAGGCCTGCTCCTCACCCTCAGAGCTATAAATCCGCAGGGCACGCGGGGCCTCCGCCCTCACAGGGAAGCCAGCCCCGCCTCTGGCTGTAATGGAATGAAAAGGCCACTCCTGCCCTGCCCCTGAGACTGCAGCTGCCACTCAGCCCACGTAAGCTGACCTGTGCACAGGGCCAGGGGCTGGGGCCCAGGCAGATGGAGTCCCTGAAGGGTATTGTGAGGAGCTGGAGGGGCTCCCCAGCAACTCAAGAGAACCTTAGTCCTGGAAGAGGATGGAGCTTGGGACAGCCTCCTATGCAGGTGGGGGAGGGGGGAGGGCAGAGGAGCAGAAGACAGAAGTACCTGACAGCGGGTGGGGGGGGCCTGCATCAGCCCAGGCGGCCTCCAGCAGAGCCCTGGGGCCAAGCTCCTAATCCCCAATGTAGGCCACAGAGGTAATCTCACAAAAGCATCACACACATGGCACACACTGCACACACACACACATCCTACACACACACACGGATGCCCACCACACACGCATGCACACACACCTTTGAGAAGAAACCCACAGGACCACCTAGTAAAAAGACACAGGAAGAAGGGAACCCTCCAAGTGGTTAAGTGTGTTATCTGTAAGCGATAAAGTCCTTACTCTTTTCTGCCTTTTTGAGGCTTCCTATCACAAGAACATGTCATTTTAACCTAACCACAATCCCCACTGGGTGCCCCCAACTCCTTTCTGGCCTCCCAGTTCTCCCACCCACAAAGCAGCTAAGGCCTCTCCTGCTGGCTCCCAGCACCCCCGCTACACCCTGTTGACCCCACACACCCCTTCCACCCCAGCTCCCACACTTAACCCCACAGGGTTGCTCTCGCCTCTCTGCCCACGGCACCAGGACATTCAGCTCCCCGAGTTACCACGAGGCTGTCTGTGAGCAGCTCTGCCACAGGCTGTCTCAGCACATTCAGCTTCTCAATGCTCGAGCCACATGGCCCCTGGAGTCTCCTGCAACACCGGAGCTTTGGGACCTGGGCCAACTTCTGGAGCTCCTGGATCCCCCGCAAGTAAAAGGGATTAAAGGTAGTGCTTACTTATGGGGCTTTTTAGGTTAAATGTACAGGTGACTGTTGAGCAACAGGGGGCTTAGGGGCACTGACCCCTCCCCATTCAAGCACTGTAGGGGTGTGGGGGCGGATGCCAGCTACTTAAGTAGTAACTACTTATCTACTAATAGCCTACTGTTAATCAAGCCACTTAATTGTTCAATGAGATGTGTCATGCATTTGAAACATATCTAACCAAAAAGGTCTGATATGTTTTTTTAAAAAATCCGCAGCCTGGCTGGTTAGCTCAATTGGTTAAGAGCACAGCCTTATAACATCAAAGTCATTGTACCGGTCAGCTGCAAAAAAAAAACGCCACAAGACAAAAAATCCACGTATAAGTAAACAGTGCCATTAGACCAGCATTGCTGAGGGGCAGGCCACACGGTTCCTGGAACACAGCAGCAAGCCCTCACAGCACACCTACACCACTTACTGACAGCACAGAAGTGGAGACTTACGGATCTTACAAGAACCACTGGAGCACAGGATAGAAAACCACAGCTGAGCTGTGTGCTTTGAAGGGCTGGACGCAGGGGGGCTACTGAGACAAACGAGTGGGACTCCCAGGGCTGGGCTCTGTGGGCTTCTGTCCCCATTGCACCACTGAGTTGGCCCATCTCAGGTCACCTCCTGCCAACCCACTGCCAGGTCCAGTGTACACGCGGCTCCCAACCCCTCCTTGGCACTCTCTAGCTGGCCTTTGTGATGCCATGTTCCTGGCCTCTGACCCCACTGGAGCTGTGGCCTGCAGGATGCCCCAGGGCACAGCACCATGCCCATCCCCACTAATACGTGGCATCTGAAATCCTCAGCCCGATCCCCAATGGGGCCACGCTGACCTCAGGGGGAGGAAGGCAGGCCTGCCCACCCTCATTCTCAGAGCACTAGGTCAGAATATTAAATTCCTTGCGTCAAACCCCCAAACTCAGGTCCCTGCTCCCCTCTGTATGGCCAAGGACCAATCTAGGGACCCCACAGCAGGGCCTCTCAGAGACCCAACCCACAGGGTGGCCCCCACCAAGAAATGGGCCCTTGGTGATTCTGATGGGTGAGAGGGCCTGAGGACCCTGCCCCAAGCTTAGCACCAACAGCAGTTAGGCTGTGTGGGTTACTGAGAATCCAAAGGGACTCTCCAGAGGCAAGGAGGCTGTGAGGGAGATCCCCAGAGTGGACAGCAGGGAGTGGCACCTGCCCCTCCCGCCCGCAAAAGCTGCGCAGCAACTGGCAATGCAGGCACCTGTGGCACACTTCCGTGGCGCCCACCACCTGCATGGGGACCCTGGCAGCCTCCTTACCAGCGCCTCCGGTCTCCAACTGTAAACTCACCAGCAGGACCCACCAGCTCCCCCTACAACATCCTACCGAGGTCGCCAACTGCTGCCCACCTTCAGGACATGCAGGCTGGTCCCCGAATGTTGTTCCCCGGGCCCCTGGCTCTAAGCTCCTAAGATCTGAAACAGACTAAGCACGATTGCAAACCCACCTGGAAAATAAAAGCGCTTCAGTAGCAACCAAACACAGTGCACTACAACAAACAGAAGCGGCCACACCTGAGGCTCATCCTTGAAGATGAGCTGCGCTCAGCAGACTTTTACCACCATGTCACCTGGAGACCCTGGTCTCCACTCTCTCCTCCACCCTACGCCCCGCCCCCAAGCCCACCCCAGCACCCCACTGTCCTGGCCCCCACCTGCCTGCCGAGGCAGTGAGCAGCAGGGGCATCCATCTACCCACAGCTCTGACAACGTCAGATGAAGCAAAAGCTCACACAGTGCCCAGCACATGGCAGACACCTGACAATGGTTGGCCCCACATCACAGCCTGTTCTGCCCCACAGGGTGTCCCTCCTGAGCCACGCTCACCTCCCATCGAGTCCAGGCTTCCGGGCCTCTCCCAGTGTCGGTGCCGTCACTCCTGGGTGGGAAGACACTGGCTCAGTCTGCCACCCTCCAAGGATGGGCATAGATGGCTCCAGCCTCACCTCACAGGGCATCTGTGCAGCTGTGCTGTCTCACCTGAGCACAGGGCAGGCACACTGGCTGCTGCGAGCCCTCTAGGAACCAACACTTTGCTCTCCCTGGATCCCCTGCAATCGGCTCTGCCCAAGCAGAGAACACACCACACATACCTCATCTGGGGACCCTGGCCAGTCCAGGAGGTACCATGGGCAGACAGCAAGGGGATGCAGGCCCTGCTGGGGCAGTGTGGCCCTGCGAAGCACACCCACCACTGGAGACGAGGGGACGGGCGGCCAGCCTGAGGAGGGGCCTCAGGTCACAGATCACAGGGCCGACCCCACAGCCACCTGCCACAGGAGCACACCCAACCTCAGGCAGAGCTGTAGCCCCAGACCTCAAGGCTCCAGGGATCCACAAATGGGATGGAAACCCCTGAGCCTGACTTTCACCCTAGCATCTGGCAGGATTCACAGGAACACACAAGTCAGAGGTGTCTTCCTTTGGGGAGATAGAAGCCCTCCAACCAACAGCATCCTAGATCCTCTACTCTTTCATTATCCCACAGTCCTAAACCCCAGCTACCTGGCAAGAAGCCAAAAACCCCACAGCGCAGCAAGCAATTTCCACAGAAGCTCCGAGAGACAGGGTCTATTGGGAGTTGCCAGTGCGAACCCATGGCCCACACACTCCCTGCTAGCACACTCCCCAACTGCGCTCCCTATGCAGCTCCAGGCGGAAGATCCTCCTGGTTTTCTCCCAACATCCCAGCCTGTCTTCAGAACTGGCCATGCTCACCACCCCACCTCCCTCCCCACTCTTCCAGGAGACACCAACAGAGAGGGTGTGACCCTTCTGAAACCTGAAAAAGTCAGCTTCCTCCAGCCTTCTTGTGAGATGCAAGCCACAGACACAAGAGGCTCTGGGGCCAACTCCAGGAAGTGCAGGCCAGTCCTGCTCCTGCTAGGCAGTGTGGGTAGGACCAGCCACCCTTGGGTGCAGGGGATCTGTCCTGGTGTGACACGTTCTAGGCATGTGACATAAGACCACCTTGCCCTCTGGAGTCTCATTTTAAGTGGGACAACACTGGGAGCACCCAGGGGGTTTTTGTTCTCACTTCTTCTCCCCACAGTGGGGTGGGAACATTCTTTTACTCCTGAGGAAACCAGGCCCCAGCACAGGAGATGGCCAGAGGCCACACTGTGTGAGGGCTCCGGCTCCAAGATGGTGAGGAAATGAGCTGGCTGAGGCTTGCGCAAGGTCCTGAGCACCAACCCTATGTTCAACGGCAGAGCCCAAACGAAAGGAATCAGAGCCCAAGGATGGAAGAGTGGAAAGGAGCT